AAGAACTATTGAGAGTCCTCGGACTGCAAGAGGAGAAAGGAAGCTCACTTGAATTTCTCAGAAGAGGCTACAAGGTCTCTTTATATTAATTTCATCCTTTTCATAATTTTGTGTTTATTTGTGTTTTCTCCCATTACTCAAATAAACTTCTCATTGCTTATCCTAAGATGATCAGTAAATTACGCAATAGATTTGAGAATCTGTTTGAATGATGGGTTAAATGTCTTACTGCAGACTGCAACTTGGTGGGAAGAAGATGTTGATTTAGAAGCGTCCTCTGCATGGCGTAGCTGAACAGAAGATTGCCAGAGAAGATAATGGCGGGTGGAGAGTTAAAACATAAAATTCGGGTGGTGGAGGAACAAGCTACTAATATTCCAGATTTGTTGATCCAGCATTTCCTTCAGAGAGATGTTCTTTGTATTCACTTTACTTGTATATTTCCACTAAAAAGAAGGTTGTCTTTTAAAGAAGTGACAAGTCCTTGAAGTCTCCTTGCTCTAAACCACATCTCTATAAGATTAAACTTTGTCATGTATTACTGTAATCCGAATTAGTGATTTATTGAGAGTGACGAGCGAGAGATGTAAAAATCTAGCATTAATTCAGTGTTTGGTTATTTGTTTTGATGCTTGCATAAAATTCAGCATTCTAATACATTGTTTGGTTGTCATCCTTGTTGCCAATAAAGAAATCTATATACTATTATTTTATACAGGATAGAAGGTAAAATAAGAACATCTGGGGATTAGTATTACATGGATTGAAACTACTAAAATGTACCCAAAAAAAGCCTCATGTATTAAACAACTTATTTAATAATAAGTAAATAAAAATATATTTTAATCCTGATATTCAAATTCATGTATTACTAATCAATGTATTACAGTCCTTGCATGGCTAATCATTACATTACAATCCATATATTTTTAATCCTTATATTATAATTTTAGCATTACTAATTTCTATAAAACTTATCTCTAAACCAAACAACCCCTTATTTTAAGACGACATTAACGACTCCTGAACTAAAAATCTTAATTTCAGAACAATTCAGAATATTTTTGTCCCGAAAAACTAAAATTCAGGTCGCACTGGCTAATTCGTAAAATAGGATCCATTAGTATGGCTACCTGATGGTATTTCTACCTTATTTTAAGACACATTATCCACCATTGGGCCCAATAGTACCAGGTCTATTCGAATATTCTGCGGACAACATAAACTTGGCACTGGAGGTCGGAGCCGACTTTCTGTTTTGGGACTTCCCACAGTATAGATTCCAAAAAGGGTACAAAGCGAAGGGACATACAAGAACTAAAAAAGCAAGCGAGAAGATATGGGGTTATGGGCATGCATAGGAGTGATATCGCCATTTCCATTCTACTACTTTCTCTGGACAAATCCTCAAACATGGGTCGATCTGTGCGGAAGAGGACGTGACCCTTGCAAACTTATGGCTATGGTCTCTCACGTTATAAAGTTGCTACAGTTCATCTCCCTCTTCTCAGTTTCCACATTTTCGTGGCCTCCTCCGCTTTATTTTTGGCCCCTCTTCATTTTTGGCCAGTTCCTTAATTTCAGGTCAGTTTCCTCGAGCTTCAAAGCCCTTGACCCTTTTCTATACGTAATTGATCTTCTTTCTTTCTATGTATATTGTCAATGGACAAACATTGTACCGATGTTCTTTTAACGAAAGATTATGTCAATTTGTAAATTGTCTAACACATGCTTTGGTCTAGTGCTGTTTGCTAGAAATTAAATTCTTGAAACTAGAATGAAAAATGACAAATCTAGGATTTCAATGTAATTGGCCTAAACAAGCTGAATAGAAACAAAGGATTGATTGTCTCTAGAGCTTTGATTCAATGACAAAAAATTACAGTGTGGAATGTGTAGCAGATCACACGTCACGAATTCGAATACTAGCTAGTGAACCAAGTATTTAAGTGGAGAAATGGTAGAGGGATGGGCCCATTATCCATAAAGTTTTAGAGCTAAATATCAAAGATTGATATAGCTGACACCAACTAGTTTGAAATTGACATGTAGTTTTTTCGATGTGTTGATTGACAAATGAGATAGCTAGGATTTTGTCAATTGTTAGAAATTTTTAATGCATGGAGGAAAGGGATTGCCTCCCCTCCCCCCTTGTCTTCAATTCGCTGGGAGCCGGTTTGATCATTCTTTACTGAAGGGAAGCATTTATGATATGGTTTCTCCTATTCAGTGGAATCATATAAGCCTCCGAAAGACTTGTTTTATTGTCGTCATGGATATTCAATGTATGCAAAGCACAAAGCTGCCGTATTGGCAATTTGATAAAGAACTAGTACATAGTTGTGCAAGGAGAACTACATGTTGTATTAATGCATATTGCCACAGGGTTAGATGTGGGTTTTTTAGAGGTTCATGTGCATTTCTCTGTCAGTTTATAAGCAATCGTATTGTATAGGAGAAGAGGTTTGTTCAATCAATTCAGAAGTTTGATGTGCCAGTGCCATCTCAGATTGCTTAAATTATAGTAATCACATCAAACCAGTTCAGCCTGATCACATCAGCTGATTAAGGTTTACAAATTGGACCTGCAAAAGTAATGATGGAGAATTTATAGGTTCAAATGAAACCCTCCAGCTGAAACCAAACAGCACACAGGGATTGTAATCAGTTTAGTGTGGAATATATAAGGGCTACAGATTCTCAGCCTGCAATGTCAGCCAAAGTCAAAGTAGTGTATGTATGACACTAGCAGCTTGACACGACGACCGGACTATATATTAACTAATGTCTCTGGAGATATGGGGGAAATTTCAAGGATTTGGGTCTTAATACTCTTTACCTCCCACCTCAGACACGTAGGTTGACTTTGACAGTCAATTTGATCTGTTTATTTTGAATTTAGAAATTTAGAAAATAATAGTTGGCAGTTAATAATTATGGACAAAAGTTTTGTCCGGAAGACTATATAAATCATGGATAATGTGATGAAGTCCTACTTGGGATGGGATACAGATTAAATGTTGGATATTTAGCTCTGACCGGAGTTCCGACCAATCTTATTTAATAGGTAGATTATTTCGGCTCATAGAAGAGTAATGAGTATGAGGTTCACTACCTAACTTAAAGCGTAGTTATTTAGTATAGGTTTCTTGTGATCATACATTTAAGTAACTTTATACAAGCATTTATCTAAAGACTAATTCCAAAGAGATAGAGTTTGAAAGGCTTAAAATAGTCAAATACCTAGGGCAACATAATTGAATCATTTATCAAAGAAGAAAAGGATTAAGAATCAAGTCTCCTTGAATTTAATTTAAAAACATATAACCAACAGTGACTAACCTGTTTAAACCACATTGATCACGATCATCGGAGTAGTTACCACTCCAATGGCGATTTTCAGATTAGAGATCTGACAAGGCACCAGCTATCGCTTTGGATATTCTGCTGGCAATTTGTTACCTGGTTATTTTGGACATAACAATCCATATCTTGAATGAAGCTATATATTGGTTCCATCTTATCAGGAGTGACTGCTATGTTAGAGGTGCACTCCAATTGGTTGTCCAGGTTTTACATTTAGTTCTTTACACTTTCTGGTTTCATGGGTGTAATAATTTATAAAACTGCAGGGTATACCAACTGTTGGGAGAATCAGGCACTTATTATGGCGTACGCTTTGGGAAGAACATCCCTTGGGTAACAGAGTTTCCTTTTGGAGTAATAAGAGATCCTCAGTATGTGGGCAGCATTTTGAGTCTGCTAGCTTGCCTCTCTTGGGTTCCTTTCTTGTACATTTTCTTATGGGTGCTGGGCTATGTTTTTATGATTCACATAGAATCCAAGGAAGATCCAGCTACTCGTGCAAAGCCACTCTCTTAAGGGTATAGAAGATACAGCAGCTCCAAACATCAAGGAAATGATGCTGCTTGCTTTTGCATTCCTGAGGAAGAGTCTTTTTGATAAAGTTCTAGCATTAAGGGTAGTTCTTGATTGCTTTTTTAAATCAGACTTATCTATATTTTGAATGATTGTTTAAGTTTCTTTTTCTTTTTGTTTGAAATTTTGAATCAGCCAACATAATTTTAGCCATAAGCTATGTCTTTTAGGATTAAAACAATTTCGAGGCAATAAAGAACAATTTCCTTCCTTTTTCCCCTGTGAATGGATTTTGAGAACACTCTATGTCCTCTCTGGATAGAGCAAACTGAATGATTTCTCAGCAGTTGGTGCAAAATTTTCAAAGTAGCAGCCCCCGGATACAATGTGTAGAGGTGAGAAACTGGAGATATGATGTGATTACGATTGATAAGGTAATATAAGGAATCAAAGACGGGTATTTTGAACGGCCAATTGCTTGAGTTGTAAAAGTCTGCGTTTACCGGAAGAAGAGAGAAAAAAGAAAGAAAATAAAACAAGAACTCTTTAGTAGCTGGTGGACTTGAGCATGACTTTGATTTCATTGCCTTGTTCTCCTCGCTATGGTGCACATAATCAACGAGGACGGGTCCTTTGACATATACATACGGGGTTTTGTGGACCACAAGCCTATAGTTAGTTTGAAAAAGAGCCTTGACATAACTGATAAAGTTATTGCCATGTGACCAGGAGGTCACGGGTTCGAGCTGTGGAAAAAGCGTCTTGCAGAAATGCAGGGTAAAATTGCGTACAATAGACTCTTCTGCTCCGACCCTTCCCCGGACACAGCGTATAACGAGAGCTTAGTGCACCGGGCTGCCAAGCCTATAGTTAGTTAAAAAATAAGACCAGACCTTGTTAGGGAGTTGGACCAACTGAGGTGTACGCTTTCATGCAAGTGGCTGGAATCAGAAAAGATTGTTGCGTCAGAATCATGATTATATATTATATAGCAGGTTACATCCTATATTTTTCAGATTACCAGATCATGCTTATTATCCCAACTTATTTTATGTAACTTAAATTGACGCTGTAATAAAATTATTCAATGTCAGTGTACATTAACTTGAACTCATAGATAATTAGCTGAGCATCCAGAAGCAAATATAATTGGATATTTCTTAATCTCATTTCAATATTCTCCAACGTTGTCAAATTCAACAACTTAAATGTTAAGGACCATGCAGTCTCAATCTAGCAAAAACTCAGAACAAGTTTGGTCCATATGCAGGACCCAATATGGCTGCTGTTGATAATTAGTCCATGGCAAGATCCCATTCTCACGTGCACTTTCCAGTCCAACTTTGCGTCTCGAAAGCTACACTTTTTCTGTATTTACATTGAACAACTTGTTTCTTTTTTTTTTTTTACTGAACTTTCCAAATGAGTCTAAGTTGGAAAACATTGAACAATTGTCTAGCCTATCCATAAATAGAAATTGACTGGTGTGCAGGACTTTCGTTTACCATCTACTTGTTTGATTATTATGTTGGAGAATTTTTCCTGAAATGGCAGCAGCAAGTGCTGCTTTGAAACTTGGATCTTTAGTCAATGAAGAAGCCATTTGCTCTATCAAGAACTGTTGAAACTCTGGCTTACTATAGTGATCCCTTTCTGTTGTCCTATGTCTATTGCCGCCTGTAGGACTAATACTGCTACTCGTCTTCATGATATCGCCTTTTGCAACTGTTTTAGGTTCAGTAAGATCGAGAGTAATGGTTGGTCCTGAGGGATTGAGAGTGGTAGAGCAAGGGACTGAAGCAGTAGTACCCACAATAGTTCTCACATTTAAACGGCTGCCGCTGGAAGTAGTAGTAGTAGTAGTAGTAGTAGTACCAGCAGCTGCCTCTGGTTTTGAAGGGTTTATTGGATGGTTATGTTCTCCTTCATATGTTGCCACCACAATTGACTGATCGTCTATGCTTCTTTGCACCTGAAAAATGCCGCACAGCTTCTTGTTAGAATAACTATAGAATTGGTCACCATCTTTTGTACAATTATCTAACTAATCTAGCTAGCCACTATAGCAGTAGAATTACGAAAAAGGATTTGTGTTTCTAGTCTGTTGTAGCAAGAAACCTGTCTTATTATTGATGTAACTAATCTCATTTTTCATGGACGATTATATGATGACCAAACAGTGTAAAAGGGCTTTATACTATCTTTAGCTGTGAGGAAGAAAGAAATCAGCGTTGCATACTAAAACTATATAGTGAGCTCATTTTTGCTTCACTGTTTTACATTTTATATTACCCCTAATTGACTCTTTTCGGTTACTGGATACCGAGAACATATTAGGCGTCCTAATTAAGTAGTACATTCATGTTCTCCTCAGGACTTAACCCAACTTTCAGTATAACATAGCTTATAAAAAGAGTGATTGTGAACTAGTAGTAACAAAATTGGGTTTTGGAGTTTTACCTTCTTCTTGACGGGGCAGCCAGGAGCAAAAGAGCACCTGAAGTAAGCTCTTGGAGAAGGATTGTCTCTGGTTACTTTCTGACCATACTTTCTCCACTGATAACCATCCTTTACAATCTGCAAATATGTTAGCTTTACCTCATTACAAGTTGCCGTAATTAGATCAGTTTAAGCTTTTAGGTGAGATGATTACACATTTCAATTTCAAGATGGCAAATTCAAGTATTTTCAATTCTCACATAAAATATTGTTTGAAGGGTCTTTAACTAAGAGAAGAGTATGGACTTACAAGAGAAGTATCAGATGCTTCTGTCTTCATAGAAACAACAGAAACCTTAGTTTTTATGTGCTCTTCTCTAGGTTTCTTGCAACTAGACTCTTCATCACTTGAGCTGCTTTCTGATGAACGTCCACAAACAATATCCAAGTTGTTGTTTTTGTTGTTGTTGTTGGGATTGGAGATATTTTCAGCTTTTCTTTTCCTTGATCCAGCACTATCATCTACTACACCATTATTCTGCTGGTTGTTCATATACTCCATTAATTGGTTTCTTAAAGCATTGTAATTTTCACACACTACTGTGAGCATCTCTGTTAGCTTCTTGTTTTCACTGCTCACTCTGTTCAGTTCCTCCAACAAATCACCTGCCTGAATGAACACAATACAAAATAAAACAAATTAACAAACGCATAAAAAGCCAATCTTCACAGTTATTCCAATATAATCGAGTAAAATGGCCAGCCCGGTGCACTAAGTTCTCGGTATGCGCAGGGTCCGGGAAGGGTCGGACTACAAGGGTCTATTGCACGCAGCCTTATCTTACATTTCTGCAATAGGCTGTTTTCCCGACTCGAATCCGTGACCTCCTTGTCACACGTCAATAAATTTATTATTTATGCTAAGGCTTCTCCAATATAATCGAGTGAACAAGAATAAAAGTTACAAACCTCATCTTTCACCAGCATAGTGTCTCTGCTCAATCCAGTGAAATTACTCTGAACTTCTTGTTTCTGAAAACAAAAAAGAACATCTATATTAAGTAAAATACAATCACAGAAGCATATATTCATTTGGGCTGAACCATAGAGTCCAAAAATCTCCACATACCGCCACTTTATCAAGAACTGGAAGAGGTCTAAAACTCAAATCCAAGGAAGTATCAACCAAACTTGTGAATTCCATTGCTTTAATTTCTTCTTAGTAGGATTTCAACAATACACAAATAATAAAATCCTTCTTCAGGTGTAAGTAACACTTCTTCTCAAATATCTGATGATAGCACAATGAAAGTAGAGGGTTAAATACAATACTAGGAATTGACCAAGTTGTAAGAAGGTGAGGAGAAAATCAAAGAGAGAGATAGGATATTGAGAGTTAGAAGGATCTTTTCATTCTTTCATTTTCTTAACAGCTTACTTATAGTTGTAAAATTTGTACTAGTAACGCAAGTGGTTGGTTCAGTAGGACATGTATATTCAATAAAGTAAGTTAAATTGCCTCATGTCGGCCCATCATATTTTGACTTTCTTTACACTAGTCAAGGTCAAGCCAACCCCAAGGAAACTAGAAAGAAACATGTATATATGGATAAAAGAAAAGAAAAATTAAAAGGGTGCTAGATTTTGGATATATAGCATATAATACAGGTTGAATATTGAGTCTTGTTTTGACCAATATGCCAACCTACTCGCTCGTATTATATCATTTGGTACGTCAGCACCAAAGGAAAGTGCATTATTTATTTGATATAAGTACGTGTTTACAAACATTTTCCACGTTATCTCTATCTTTTATTGCCTGCGAGTAGGATAGGCATAATTTGGACAAACCCATAATTATAATCGAAATTTGCATTTATTGAATTTTGGTTTGAATTTTCGGATTACGGATTGTATGTTGGATTTAGTACGAAGAATTTTTGAATATTTGGAAATTTGAATTTTTATACCTTATATTTGGTGCTATCCATTAGACATTAATCCATTCCATATACCCAATACTAATAAGTCTAATACCTTACCCATTAGACATTAGCTCATATATTCAACTATTTGTATATTATTTTACTATTGTTAATTTATATCAGCATTAGTTATGTCTGTATTGTATTTTCTTAATAATGATTTTATTACTTGCATGAAAACTTTATTTGGATGTTATTTTTGTAAGAAGAATAAATATATCAACTTATATGTTCAAAGTCGAAAATCCGAAATATTCAAATTGATTAATCCAAAATCACACTTAAAAAATCCGATCCATTCAAACTTATTGAATTATTATTTTTTTAATTCGAAAACCAAAAATTCAAAATTAAATTTTCATGTCCAAATCCATCTGCCCGAACGTACACCCGTGCTTATGAGGTCTGGATTCTGAAAGAGCAGAAATCTTGAATATTGGATTAGAATTCGGTATTAAAGTGCATTTAAAAATACGCGCACACAGCTCACCAATTTAGCTGTCCAACACGCGGGTCTCTATGTGTATTCCACGACAGTATTGGAGGAAGGGATATTATATTCGTGGAGTATTTTCTAGGGAAACTTACACAAATGTCCGAAATAAGTCTCAGCTTATCAACCTCTAATCATCAGTTATACACTTATCAAAACTAGTCAAGTATATATAAAAATTAAAAAATCAAATAAATAAGGTTCTTTCTCTCAAAGAATCACATGCAAAAATTTCCTTCCATATTTTTAAACGTGATTAGTAACATTAAATGCAAGACGGAAAGGAAATTCCATGGATGAGGTAGCAAATAAGGTGATGAAATACAAAAAAAAATACAATATTCCAAAAATCTAAGCAAAAAAAGGAACTTTTTTATTGGATATAGTTGAAATTCATTGAAAACATATAGATAAGTCAATATACAAAATTTGAAGAAGATTGGAGGTGATTTGGACTGGTTTTGTATCGAAATTCGTAATTAAATCGAGTTCAAAAAGGTTTCTGCGACACATGTATCAAACATGTATCACGCATGTATCTCACACATAGGTATACATGTGATACACAATTGATACAAATATAATACATATGTGATACACAGTATGATACACATATCATTTTTTCATGTTCAGTTTTTACTTCGAATTTTCAATTCAAACCACATCAAAACTTCACCAAATCATCCCAAAACTAAGATTCAAGCTTCTTAAGATGTAAAGTCTATTCTAATAACACCCACTTAAAAGAAAGCAAAACTTTGACCCTTTTTTATTACAAATAGCTAATTGGCTAATATTAGTAATATTTTATGAATTGACCAATTTTGATAATGAACTACTTATAAATGAACATAACTGGTAGTTTCGTATTTTCTATTGGCAGAAACTGATAGAACTAGGTAAATATAAACAGATAGCCCCAATACTTAATTCTAACATATTTGAACAAAATAATTCCTGTTTTTTGGAAAATGGGAAGTCCGAAATCGATCTTCTTAATTAGTCTGAAGTCTGCAAGTAATAAGACAATCATCTGTTTCTTTCGAATTAATCAATTTCATATCCAAAATTATTATGCTAAATCAAGAAAATAGATGCTTGTAACTAGAAGATGATTAGGAAAGCTAGATTGTTAGAAAATTTCCAAAACTACAAAAGTTGAAATTGTATAACTTCATTTTCTAGATAAGGAAAATTCAGAATGCATCGAAATTATGCAGTTGACTCCGACAAAATGTTTGGAATTCAATTAATTTAGAACCTTGAGATAAGGACTCCAAAAATATTTCAATGTATTTCACATGACAAAGTCTTAATTTTTATTTTTTAACTAGTCATGTATGAGAGATTAACTTTGATCTCTACGCCAGAAATGGAATGGACAGTAAACTAGGTGTCAAAGTTGGCTACCCGCCAGCCATAGCTGTTAACAAATCGAAGAGAGAAATAGATCACTAGTAATTTTAATACATACTTTATCTCCTTTAGTTTATACGCACTCTTATATTTTTACTTTCTTCTAGATGATTGCTATATATTTTTATAATAGAATTTTTTAACTTTTAACTTCTCATGGCATACTTTTATAGTAATAAGATATCAAAATACGTTTAAAATTATATCTTCTAATAAAGAGACTTTTAATGTGTGTAAACGTCTTTTTTTTTCTTTTAAACACAATGTCCACACTTAAGGAGGTACATAGGTCGGTTTGGTTCGTATTTTTTAATTACCAAACCAAACCAATTGTGTCAGATTATTAAATCTAAAGACAAAACCAAACGTTGGGTTTTTTAATCTCGATTTTTCTCCAGTTTTTCGGGGTTTTATTTTGATATAGTTTTAATAGCACAAAACATAGAATTTGTGCTCCAAATATTTCTTTAATCCTAGTAAGACATAGCTATATAAGGTGTTTCTAAGAAACTAACATAAAATATGAGATGAGTCATGGCATTGTACTAAAAATTCAATAATAAAGATAATAAAATCGCATAAAACAAATATCATTAATAAGCCATAATGAAAATAAACATAATCTCAAATTACTAAGTTGCTAAAATAAGTATGACTAATAAGTATTATTATTTACATAACTAAATATTAAAAAAATAAAAAAAATTACATTTTATCTAAACCATGAAAAAACTAAATAAATGGATATGTCATTCCTAGCAATTGAATTGAATGTCTTTTGTTAGCATTAATATTGATTTGATCTTGGTTTGGGATTTGTTTGAGTTACTAATATTTATGGACTATTAAACTTATTGGAGTATTCAAAAATTATAAGTCCAAACTTGAAATAATAAGTTAAAAATAAAATTATGAAAAAGTTTAAGAAATATTGATAAACTACACTAGAATAAATATTTTTATATATTAAATATATTTAAAACTTCTATAAATGTAATATCGGGTTGGTTTGGTTTCGATTTTGACTTTTTTTTAGTTAAAATCAAACCAAGACACCAAGCCAATTATGGTCGGGGATTTTTCCCCAACACCAAACTAAATTAAACCAAATCATAATCGATTTTTCTCGATTTAACTCGAATTATTGATTTGGTGTGATTTGTCGATTTTCTTTGTATACCCCTATGTGCCGTCAAACAATTGTCATTTACAGTAATATGGAGGGAGAAATCAATTGTAAATGTAACTTCAAGTGAAGTTGGCAGAGAGAATATTGAGTGAGACGCGACAGGGAGAAACTCCTTAATTAGTTGCTATTATAGGAAACATTTCCTTGTCAATTCCTTATCTCGTATTAGTAGTATAGTATAGTAGTACTTGGAGATTTAATTAAGATATAAGTGCAATAGAAATAAATTAATTAAAGGAGTCGGAGCCTGCTCCAAATGTTTGTTCATTTCCCATTTTCTTAGTTGTAACCAATGTTTTATGAGAAGCATAAGGCGGGGCGTTTTACATGTACCTCACCGAACCGTAAGCTTCGAGATACGGGGCGTAAACCCCACATATATTTAATTTTTAATATTTTATAAAATAATATAATGACAGTAAATATTTATAAACATGTAAAATTACATAAAAATTGAAGAAAATTATAAATATGTGAAATATATATATGTGCTCCACAAAAAACTAGTTAAAATAATTTATTACACGCTACTTACAAGCACAAGTAACTTGAGTTTAAAAGAATAAAGTTTTCTACATTGAGGAACAAAAAGGATGATTAACCTGCAATTTGAACTTTGAACTTGCTGCTACGAAGGAGAATGCAGTTCTCTTTGTATTTGTAAAAAAAAAAAAAAAAAAAAAAATCTTTGCTTTTGGGAGATATTAGCAGACTAGTGGACAAGATAAAGAATTGTGAAAGACCATGAATTAGGGCTTCAATCAATAAAATATGTCTTGACTTTTAAATTTAATACTTTTGAGTTCCTTTTTAAATCTTTTGAGTAATTACCAAACTTACTTTTGAGAATTTGGGTATTATATGAAGGACTTATTCAATAAATTTTATTTTAATTTGAAAAAGTCTATGAGGCTTACTCCTCACAAAAAAGCGCGCATCAAACGCCTGGACGTACGTCTCGAACCCCCGGACGTACGTCCCGAACTCCCGGACGTACGCCCCGAATTGATGGGCATACGCCTCTTGAGACTTTCGTCCCACACTATCGCTCCGGGGCTCATCCCGAAAATGACTTTTAAAACACTATTTGTAACGAGAAGGAAAAAATAGCGTAGCGTTCAAGAGTCAACAAGAAAAAAATTGTTGAATCGTAAACTCAACCTTCAAACTTGTATTATTAAAATACTAGCAATCTATCTATCTATCACAAGCCCACTTTCGGTTGTCCCAAAATAAAATTTTAGGAAAAAGTACTCCAGTCAATATATACTACCTAAGAGTTGACATTGAACTCGAAGTAAAAACAAAAACTCAAATAAACTATATTTATAAAAA